CTTGTGGTCTCTTCCAACTCTATGATTCTATGATTCTATGATCCAAGTTTTATTTATATAGCATCTAAAAGTTTTTTATGTTTGCCTGATGAATAAGCCAGTAAAGCCTTGAAAGCTGGTATAAAGCATTTTGATTGGTCAATAAAGGTATCACTCTTTTGTGGATTTTGGGTTTTGTTGTATTTTGCTCCATGGCCAATGTGGCTACCTCTGAACATGTCTTCATATTGTAAGATCTTTAGGAAAATATTTCTTTCCATCCCAACTTCACTAGTATTTGATAAAGATCCAAGAGGGCGCCTCCTTGGTGGCAACTGATGTTCTTGATAAGTTGGAAACAAGTTACAGTCTGCATGCCTACAGCCCCTCAAAACCTAAGGTCTATCCTCCTAATGGTCACAGAAATACATTGGCTTCATTCTATTTTTAACAAATAAAATGAATACCAACAATTCAGAAGTCATATTATTGTTATTGTTATTGCTATTGAAGCCACCTTGGGTCCCAGCCTGGAAAAAGGTGGCAAATAAATAAAGTAAATAAATAAATAAATGTTGTTCACATTTAAACAGAGTGAGACATGCAACCATAGGACTGGTCCTGTCTTCTTAATGGTGACAAGAAACAGGTGTCCTCCCAGAAGTCCATAAGACTGCATTCAATTGATTCTAGCAGGCTTACAGGAAAGAGCAACTGCCTGATTATTACTTACAGGCGCCCTAAGGGATTACCTCCAAACACCTCAAAGGACCTGATGTCACAAGCCTTCCATAGTAGTGGCCTCTCCTTTGAAAGCTCAAGAAATTAGCTGCCTTTCCAATGGCTACAATGTGTTGGATGTTAACCCCACAAAATGGGACAGGAGCCCCATTATTGTTCCCAGAAGGGTTTGTTCCAAACAGCCCAAGGAGCCTGATGCTGTGGAATCCATTCAGGGGTAGCCTTACTTTTTAAATGGACAGCTGTCCTTCCAAGATGCCCAGAATCCAAGATGCCCAGGTGTCCAATATGGATCAATGGTGCACCAATGAAGCACTCCAAAACACCTCAAGGGTTATGATGCCCACATAGTAATGGCCTATCCTTATGAATGGACATAGAAAGCAAGTCTGTTATTATTATTGCTGCATGCTTGATGAGCCACATGTTTGAATTGTTGTGAGCCTTCAAGTCATTTAAAAGCAGCTATTAAAAAAAAAAAAAAACGAGAGCCAGTGTGGTGTCTATTAGCCTACTGAATGGACTCGTTTAAATCATATATAATCTATAATTTAGTTTTCATCTTGAAATAAGGGGAAAGGTAGTTTATTTTATATTGTGAATTATGATTTGGCTAAGGGTTCAGGAAGTCTTCTTTCATGTGAATCGTGTGAATGAACAATAAGAAGATATATATGAATATGTAGATATGTTTGCGATATGGGTCTGTGTGGGTGTGTAATAGGAATAGTTTGTGTATGTATAATATGTTTGTATATGTTTGTATGTTAGTTTTAACTTAATAAAAGTATTAATTAAAAAAATGGGAGCCGGTGTGGTGTAGTGGTTTGGTTGTTGGACTATGGCTCTGGATATCAGGGGTTGAATCCCCACTCAGACATGGAAACCCACTAGGTGATCTTGGACAAGTCACATACTCTCATCCTCAGAGGAAAGCAAAGGCAACCCCCCCCCCCCCCCGAACAAATCTTGCCAAGAAAATCCTGTGATAGGTTCTCTTTAGGGTTGTCATAAGTCGGAAGCAACTTGAAGGCACACAACATTTTTTTAAAAAAACAATAGTGTATTCAAAATAGAAGATAAATATAAAGGCACAGAAAAGGGCAGTTGTGAAAACGTAGGTTTAAAATTATAAAATTATTAAAACCATTCCAGAATTTGGGGAGCACCTCAGTAAGGCACACTCAGTTATGGGTAGCCTTTTGGGGGACAGGCTATGAGCAATTACTCAGAGCAGAGCTTCAGATGATAATATCAGAGCACAGGCAAGAATCTATAGATTAATTAGAATGTCTTCTTATCAGGAAAGATGAACATTTAACACGGACATACTATGCATAGTCTCTTTTTTAGACTATGAATTTTGCCACAACTCGACCAATACATTTTGGCTTTCTTTTTTCAATAAACAGACATGGCATTGTTTAACTAAAATCTAGTTACTGTTTATACTGCTTCTGTACTTTAGGTGGTGCTCCTGTTTCTTTTGTAATAACAGCATGAGTTTGCTTTATGAAACTGGGACATTTTTAAGTGAAAAAATACCCCTCTAAAAAGTTTACAAAGCAAAAGAGTGACAGTTACTCCAGTATTGTGTGAAGACTTTTCTCTTTAAAGTCCTAAACTACAGAATGATCTTATGAGCTTTGACCTCTGTTATTTTCCTCCAGACATTCTTTTATAGCATTGATTTTTGCTATAGCTGCTGTGATGCTGGTATCTTCTCTGTGGTGACTACATTTCATAACATCAAATTAACTTTTGCCCCTATCCTTCTGTACTTGGCTTGTGGAAGATTTCTGAAGCTAGGCCATGAAAACAGAACACAACGGAAACATGTGGCTAGCCTCGTTTACACAATTAAAGCGCTGCAGAAATAATGTAGTTTGACACTGCTTAACTTCCATCCAATAGGTCGCATCCTATTGAATCCTGGGATTTGTAGTTTGTTGTGGCACCAGAACTCTCTGAAAGAGAAGGCTAAATGTCTCACAAAATTACAAATCCCAGAATTCCACAGCATTGAGCTGTGGCAGTTAAAGTGGTGTCAAACTGCATTATTTCTGTACTGCAGATGCAGTTTCAGATTCTCATCTTCATTTGAGATATTGCCAAGTAGAATCTTTGAGAGTTTAATTTTCTTTTTTCATGTTGGGGGTGGGGGGAGAGAGAAAATCTCCAGCCTTCTATTTTTTTTCCAGTTTTTTTTTAAAAATCCCCTAAGCATCAAGCACAGAATATGCAAAGCATATTAAGACACACAAAATTAAACTAGAGAAACACTAACTAGCTAAAATAGAGTAGCATGTTAAGCAATAGGAAACTAGTAAAAAAATCAAATAGCTTTGGAAGTTGTGTGGAATAAATCTTCCTTTGTCTGGTGCTGAAAGTCCAACAAGGATAAAGTAGACTGACATTTCCTAGGCAGGGAGTTCCATAATCTTGATACCAATTCTGAGGCCAATTCATCAGTAACCAAATGCATCTGAGGAAGTAGACTGAAAGTTCTTTCTTTCAGTTAGTCTCAAAGGTGCTACAAGATCTCTCATCAGTAACCAGTTCACTTTCCATCACTGACTACACACAGCACTTAAAGAAATGAGGTGGGGATGGAAACAGAGGCTCTAAAGATCATATTATTCAACAAGTTCGTAATGAGGAATCTAATTTTGATGGACCCTGGACCCAGAATTTTAAATCATTAGTATTTGGCCACTAGTCCCAGATTCTTCTTGCCAGCATGTGCAGTGGTCATTTTGGCTAGAGAATTATGGGAGTTGTAGCCCCTAAAAAGCAAGCTTTCCTTGCTCTGTCTGGAATAGGACTACTCAATAGTCAAAACTAGAACCTTGAACTGGCTCTAGAAAGCAACATGTAGTTGATAATATCCTATATAATCCATATTACATACATCATGCAGTGAGTTAATAACTAGTGGCAGTTATTGGAGGTTACTAAAACATGGATTTCTAACATGGTGTAACATCTCTTTAAAGTAAATCTGCATTTACTGCATCCATATCATATTAAATGGGCTGAGGATCCTGTGTTTGTAAGATCTCGTCCACAATACTCAGCTGAGTTTGTGGAGAAATAAATCTTGCCTCTGCTGCCTTGGAGTCTTATCAGTTTATAATCTGTTTTATATTAATTACAACAGCAGACATTACATAGCAAGGAGATGTCAAAGCAGGCAAGCCACCATTTAACTGACACTTGGCCGCTGCCATCACCTGTCATCCAAGGGCAGTGCCAAATCCTGCAGCATATTCAAATCATGAACCCAAGTTAAAATATGCTATACTCTTGTTCTAGACTCAAACCCACTTCTATTCAACACCTTTACCAACTTGTCTAGAACAAATTGCAGCTTGTTTGTCAGCATCACTGACTACAGACACTGGTTCAAAGTCTCTACTGCTTTCCCAAGAAGTACTGATCTAATGGTCCACATCCACAATGAAAATATCTGAAGAGCCTGGCCTGGGGAGTTTCTGAAGATGATAAATTCCATAGACTACTGTAGAATGCAGCTGACTAGAATATAGCACTTAATCCCACCTTCTAGGATCTGCCTTCCAAGAAAGAAAGAACAACATTACCATCCAATTCAGCAAGTCAGTTCAGAAAGAAACTATGTGGAATGGTCCAAAAAAGCAAACAACAAAGCCAAGAAATGCAAAATGGGCACATACTCATATCATGTTGGGAGACAGGAATGTATGTTTTAGCGTGTAAGCCACCCTGGTTGTGTTACACAGAGAGGCGGGATACAATTTTATTATTATTATCATCATCATCCACCAAGGCAGTCTTGGGAGGAAAAGGATCTAAGTATCTAGTACTGTACATGGTGAATTTGCATATAGAGCCAGGGATAAGTCCCAGTAATTTCTGTTGGCTCCTAGTGCTCTTCTACTTCATTTCTTACAAGGGAGATCAGTGTTTTACAGCAAGTTACTTTGCTTTCTCACACAGAAGTAAGTGGATTTCATTTATATATATAAGGTAAAACATTAAATGAAATTATATAATGATTTCATTTATATATATAAGGTAAAACATTGCAATGAGGGCAATTTTCATCCATCCCTTCCCACCCCTCTGACTGTGAATTTCTTACTCACTAGTAGCAAGTACCTATAGGAACAGACATTGTAATTTATAAATCTATATATATTGTACCACATCAGACTAACACAAAATATGCTTACATTTATATAATATAGACATGGGAAGCAATACACACAAACATATTACTCTTCCTGAACTACTTGTTTATAGACTCACGGCCCAATGGGGGGTCTTTATCACAATATTGTGCTAGATAGTCTCTCATGACTATACAGGAACTATAGTTATGGTAAAGAAAAATAATGAACAGTGATGTCCTGACCAAGACATGAAATACTCTTTGTATGGTCTTCAAAGTTGAGAATAGGGATAAGGGTGGTTCTGGGTTTTGAGCATTCACATGCATGTGATTCTTGCCAGGAAAGAGGAGGAGGAGGAGGAGGAGGAGGAGGAAAGAGGAGAACACAACAATTTGTGTTTGCTGTAGAATAACATATTTTGTTGTTTTGTTTCAGCATAAATACTAGAGTTGGCCCTCCTATGAGACAGACTAATACCTTTTGGCAGTACTTCATTTATACATGTGTTAACTGAACTGTAGTTTTAGGACCTCAGATTATGAGGGGGGAGATATATGGTTATGCTCAGAGATTATATTATTATTATTTGTGGCAATGCAAACACAGTGGTGATGGAGAGAGTAACCCTTTTCTACTTCAAATTTAATGTAATTTTGAGAACATTTTCTGAATAATAATATAGCAGATTGTACTTTCAGTTCCTATATTATGTTCTCCCCACCCCTTCATCACCTCTCCTGCTGTCTGTGCTGAAGATTTTAGTTCTTGAAAGTATGTGTGTGAGTGTGTTAGGTGAGTGGTGATTCACTTTCACAAATAAAACTACATTTGGACCTTGCATTCTGGAGTTCTGTTTCTCAGAAGTGGTATACACAGGCTTGATCCCTGCTTTGGGCTGCCCAAGCCCTCTTGGCTGTTGTAATTGAGCTAATAAAATTCCCCTTTTAAATATTGACTGTAGGTGCTCTTTCAGAAACCTGGCATTTTGAGTAACGGGGAGAGAGTAATTTGAAGCTCTATCTCTATCTCAGCCCAAACTGCACAACTGAAAACCAGTACCCAAAGAAAATGGTTGCCACATTATCCCCTCCTGCACCTGTTTCTGTCATCTCAGAAGCTACTGGCCTTTCTCATTGGTTCCTTTGTGCTTTTGAGACACTCTATTATGCATTCTTCACAAGTCCCTATGGTAAAGGATGGCCCTGTTTCCTGTCCAGTGTCAATGAACATCTGGTCAACCCTGTTGATTTGACTGTTGTTACTATTGCTACTGCTGTAGAAAGATAAGTTGATGGGAGGTTGACTACACAACAGGGGTAATAGTGGAGGATAAGGCAAAGTACAGAAAAATAGGAAATAATAAAGTAACTAAAAATGAAGATAATACCCTGTGTTTGGTTGGTTTTTTCTCTGTTCCTGAGGCTCTATCCTTCTCCTGTTGTTGCCACATGTTGTTGCCCCACCTCTGCCTCCTTTGGGCTTGCTGGTTCTGACCACTTGACCAGTATGAAAAGTGCTTCTTGATACCTTACCTCATGTGCAAAAATCCACAGCAGTACATATAACACATTTACATGTAGACTAGGCCTTGATATAAAAGCAATAAGCTTTAATCTTAATAGCTTTTTTGATTTGGAAAACAAATTATTTGAAACCCTCTATATATTGACATGTTAAAGCAACATTCTCTTTGTTAATGTTTCCAGATAATGATTCACTGTTTAGA